CAAAGCTCTGTCAGTTTTTTTGTGCCTGTGAATCCACAGTTTATCCTCATTTTCTGTCATTTATTATTTCAGATTTAGTTTCTCCATACACATTAGGAATATCAGAATAACTGCAATAACACATGCTTCAAGTTCACTTTCACCTTTAGTAAATGTGTTACAAAATATAAAAAAATATTTTTTATTGACTTGATTATAGTGATCAAACATTAAGACAGTATTTTAATTTGAAATCATAGACATAGCACGCATTGTCTCTGTCCACGAGAAGCCGACATGCCTTCTGGTTTATGGAGGTAAAATCTGAACGTGCTTCCTTCTTCCTTTATTGTCAGCTGCTAATCAATGGCAGGATGCTGGGCAAAAGCTCCACAGTCGGGCTTTGTTCAAAGTTAACCTTTTCTGGATTTCTACAGGGAAAGCGATCAGAGGAAAATATTTCCCTGGGGATTATTTGCCACATTTCTTGCTTTTTTTTCTTTCTGTTTTTATTGTTTTTTGTTGTCAAACCACAGCCTGTCTACGGTTCCCCTCAAACGTTCAGTGACATGTTGGCCATCTACATCTGAGGCAGCTTTTAGTGGCTGTTTTGAATCACTGTAAGCTGTGTTTGTCGGTGTGTGTGATGCTGTCTTGTTTTTGTGCTGCTGACGACAGTGCTGCTCTGAGGAGGAATGAGGAGTTTCCAGTGACTATTTGTATAAAAAGCTAGCCGGTGTGTGAGTGGTTCTGCTTGAGGCGAGGAAATCAAATCCTAAAATTGCTGATGTCACAGTCTTATCCACTTTTCTACTGCACAAGCATTCCATTTTTCTTATGACAAACACAGAAACACGTCTGCTAAAAAAACCCAACTGAGCAAACAAAGCAAACCTTGTGCAAACACACACATTTCACATTGATGTTCATGTTTCATATATTTAGTGTGTTTTAGAAACAATATCAAGTTACTTTTGACACTAGAATGCAGAACCTGGGAACGTCAGGGAGTGTTTGTTTTGTGTGGAGTAGTTGTGGAAAATAAGTATCCATGAAGTTGTTGATTAGAGTTTGGATTTGCTCTGCTCCCCTCCTATCAATCACACATCCTAGAAAATTTGCAATTGACTCAACCTGCAATTACAGCAAGTGACAAGATGGAGCTGGAAGATGTTAGATAAAAGTTAAAAACAGAAGAAGTTACACTGGTTACTTAAATTATGGTACAAAAACAAAAGCAGTAAAGGCTTAATTAAAGTGATACAGTATGTTGGGTTTACTTCAGGCTCAGGGATTTCATTAAAGTTCATTGATGTGGTTAGGTTGGCTCTGACACAATGCTGCAGATCTGGGTTGGGTTGGGCTGGATGGACAGCAGTTAGAATGATCACTGTTTAGAGAAACATCATTTTTTTCAAAAGAATTCAAGCTAACAACTAATCAACAGGATTAACGAATACCATCTTAAATGCCTCGAACTTAACACTTCATTCACAGCAAACATGCTAACATGCTAACTGAAGGGCTGTACACAGCGCTGAAGGCGAACAAACTGTCCAGCCTTTACTCATGTCTCATTTCATACAGGAGTTCACAAGTTTTGTAGCCTCTACCAAGAACAGCCAACAGAAGATCAGACTCTGTCATGTTTCCTTAACATGTAAAAGGTCTCTGGTTCCAAACCGGACAACCCAAACCCCTTAAACTCCAGGGGTCAAGTTTATCGCAGGATGTTGTAGGTGACCACACTGATCTGGGACATGGAATCAATCTCCTGTGGTGTAATGGTCACCACTCTGGCTTTTGATTCCAGAGATATGAGTTCAACTCTGTGTAGGACCTTCTGTCATTGTCAAACATTTTCCATTCAGTAGCCGTTCTCAGGCTTAATGAAGTTTCTGTGGTAGAGAATGAGGAATTCTTGCTTTCACTACATCAGATGCAAAGATCGGTGAATCAATCTGCGCATTTGATCTGCAGTTGCTGCTGATTCAAATTTATTATGTCTTACATTAGTAAGAAAGCTCCTATTTTTGTTTCTAATTGTCATACATACAAAACCATTTAATTAAAAAATGTCTTAAAATCTGATTATAATTGAATTTATTCTAAATATACTAAATAATCCAAAATACTATGCTATTTTGGATAGCATACCGTTTTATAGATGTTTTTTAAAATTTTGGAATTAGCTTTTACAGAACAATATACCAAGATCTGCTAACAAGCTTTGCTGAATAGTTATGATAAGCTTTTTTAGAACGTTCCACATAGCTGTTTTATTCCTTTTCCATTTTTACCTTCAAAGTTTCCTATAAATAGCTTTACGCTGACACTGTTTTGGATGCATCACTGACTCCATTTCTAATGCTGCAGCTTCGTGTTAAGCAATAAATTCAACAGGATTTGCAGCTAATTTTCCACACATTTTCCTGCAGTCATTTGAACTCCTGAGATTACTTTGGGAATCAGTTTTTTCAGGGTTTGAATATTGCTTTGGTACTCAACCATCATCTGTAATGAATGACCAAAGGGGCTGTGGGGCTTGAAATGATAAATAGATTCCTTTCCTCTCTTTGATAGCATCTGCCTGTTTTACCCTCTGGGTTTATTTTGGTTGAGCTCCATCTGCTGGGTTTAGTGATTCAAAGCTAAAAGGTTGACGTTACTTCAAACACTGACTGTATTCAAGGAAAAGTTGCCAGATTTTTGTAATAATGTGGATATCATTTTGAAAAGGGCAGTTTAGCAGAACATAAAATTGATACAATTTTAAAAACACTGAATGCTTGCATGCAAAATAAGACATGAGGTCCATTTAACAAAGCAGCTTTTGCCGCAGTTGTAGTGGAAGTAGCAGCTTCCTATTATCCTTATCTATTCATGTAGTCAAAGCACTACAGGATGACTGACAGGATTGCATCCTGCCATCATGTAAAAAACTGCAGATATAAACTTTTTCTATTTGTGCAAACAGAAACCCATGTTGAGTTTTAGACTCAGCAAAAAGACTAAACAAAAAGGACACAAAGAAAGTCAACTGTTAAAAAATTCAAAAATGACATCTTGTCCTGTTTGTGTTTTCAGTATCTTGAGAAATATGCATGAGCTCTCTTTTGGTAAGCTAGTTGAGTTTCTAAATAAGCAGTAAGTACTGATAGATATTGATCCAGCTTCAGAGGATTGTCCTCTCATATTATTCATGTAATCACATTTAGGGAAACACAAAAGTGGAACCTATCACAAAGTCAACTGTCCCATCCTGCTGCAGTCCTCTCAGCTGATTCTCCATCATCAAATTCAAACTGGAAGACTCTTTTGCCCCACCTGTGTCAGTGCGTCAGTGGGTCTCGTTCATTGTTGTTGACCAATCAACACTAGACCAAACCACGTCATGGCCAATCACCGATCAAGCCCCAGTTGATAAGGACCTCCATCCATGGCATCTCCTGCTTTCCAGCTGCACTCAACCCACCTCCACTCTCTTGGCTCTCCAGGTACACATCATCCACCGACCTCCACCACCAGTGGATGGGCCCTGAAGGATGACATTCCTAACCAGCATCGGGAATGCTAATCCGAGCTTATTGCAATTAACAGCTGGATGTCCTCAGCCGGGCCCGAGTGCCAAAGAACTTTCATTCATGTATGTCAATAAACCTTTTAATGTTCCATGTCCAAGTCCTCAACATGTCTTTGCTAAAATGTGGGTTTGGTCTCTTCCTTCTCAAAAGTTTGTCTGCTTCCCCCTGTTTGTTTTAGCCCCACTTTTTCTATTGGACAATCAATCAAATCTCTCACAAACACATTCACATGTAAAGAGGACTGACTCTGAAACTGACTCAGATGATAAGAGATCAGCAGCAACCTGAGGTTCATTTACACTTGGACAAAAACACAGGATTTCCTCCAGGCCACATTTGATCCCATTTGATTAAGTTGAAAGAAATATGGCCATTAGTAGCCAGAAACATCCATGGCTACTGATGGTTTTCAGGTCTCTGTTGGCTCCTGAAATGAATTTTTGTCTTTAATAACCCCCATTACTTTAATAACAGTAACAAGCCACACACCTTTAGTTTACTCCCAAATATCATTCGAAACTTTACATAAAAAAAGACTTCTTGAAAGTGGCAGACTGATTAGCCTTTTTAGCCAGCAGGCTAGCCTTTCCTCACAATAATATACACACTGTGTTGGATTTAAAAGTTTTACTAGTAATACTTTGTTGCAGATTAAAAAATATTGAATTGAAAGAAAAAAAAGATTACAAATGAGACTTTTTTGGCATTTATTTTGTAGCTACAGTTACAAATAATGGCAGGTAATAAAAAAGTTGCTGCTATACATCATAGAAATAACATAGAAAACATTGTGTTAACCATAAAATACATACATATATATATATATATATATATATATATATATATATATATATATATGTGTGTGTGTGTGTGTGTGTGTGTGTGTGTGTGTGTGTGTGTGTGTGTGTGTGTGTGTTTTGTTTGTTCTGTTTTGTTTAGAATAAAGGCACATGATCCTCCCCAACAAACCTCCATATTTACATAAAGAAAAAAAAATCATTGTTGCTTCTATGAGATTGACACTCTATGTGTATCTACATGAATGCAATGGAGACTAAAACCAGTCATTATGGCTGGATACCCATTCTTCAAAAGCAATTTTCTGTAGTTTTTTTTTTCAGAAACAAAAAAAATTACCAAATTTAGAAATAACAAAGAAAAGCAAATGCTGCTATTAGGCACATTTTTTCCAACATAGATTTTCTCAAAGTAAATTCCATTAAGGAAGGTAAAAAACAAATAAAAAAATAAAATAAGTTCACTTTAGACCAGTGTCATTAATTCTTGTTTTGTTATAAATGCAAAACAAGAATTAATGTTATTTGCCTGGATCCCGTCCTGAGACATTTTTTTATTGTTTAAATAAAAACAATAAAACAATAAAAACAATGTTAGAAAAGCTGAGTTTTTCTATTGACGAAAGAAACACCATTGAACTGTTTTAGCTACTTTTAATGGATATTTTTCGAAAAGGTTATATGGAGAAAAATAACTCTTAGTATCTTCAGTTGCTATAAAGTCATATTAAAACAGAAGGTCAAACTAAAGGCAGACCAAGACAAAAGTGGGCTTCTACTGGTTTGAACAACTCAAATTTTCAAAAATCTTAGGGCAGCTTATGCAAAAGCTATTTATCAACCTTCAAATCATATGAATCACAGTCATATTTCAATTTGGTAGCTATTTACACAGAAGTCACTGATTATTATGACAAATAGAGGTTGCAGGTTGTGTGCCACTGATGATCTTCCTATGTGAAACAAACTGAGAAGGAAAATGGTATGTCCAGTTACAGTAGCTGTCTATATAACGTAAGAAGCAAAAATAATAATTACAGCAGCTCAAGTGAACTCCATAGATTTTTGCAATGCTTCTCCGTTTAAGTTGTCACATTGAATTGAAATGTTTTACATGTTCTATTTTCCCAAAATGTAAACTCCACTTTCTGTTTACATGTTTGTGGCTTCTTTACTAATAACCTGTGAATGCGCATGTCAAAGGTTTAAAATAATGTTTGCAATAGGACACTTTTCACACTGTAGTCTTCTTCGATTAGCCATTGCCTTCCTTCAAGACCAACTAATTTGGTTTTATACTAACATTAATGAGATGTTAACTGCTTTTGCCATGACATTTAAAAATCCCCTAATTTTGCTTAAGATTTTTACGGAAAATAAAAATCTTTCTCAAGTTGTGAGCTCATTTCCAAATCTCTACGGTTTGTGAAACGACAATCATTCAAACCGAATGCATACACTAACACACAAATCACATTTGTAAAACAAAAGGTGCATTCAATATCTTATCTTCATCCTTTAAAAACTTCTTTACATTTTCTGCATTAAAACTGTGCAGCAAACATTTCTTGATGAAAAAAAACATACTCAACTTGTGTGGTGTCTGACAGATTCTTTTCTATGTTTTAGATATACACACAAAAACAAGTGTAAATACATAAATGATGACAATACATGACAGATTAAAGAGCATAGTGAGTTCTAAAATATGTCAAAATAACTCTGATAAATTGTGGGGATTTCAAAGCTCCAGCCCAGGGGTCCTATGGTGACGCATAGCACCCCATAGTTAGGCCTTAGGATGCCTTAGTCCGCGACACAGCCGTTGCTGGTTCGATTCCCGGCCTGGTGACCTTTGCCGCATGTCTCCCCTTCTCTCATTACCCGCTTTCCTGTCAATTCACTATCAAACTGAGCCAATAAAACCTCCGGTCCAAAAGCTCCAGTCCAGTGTTTTGTTCCAACTTTGGTCCTTTTGTTTTTATGGCCTAAAACTGTTTCTAAATTTTCATGTATATTTCATAATAATTTCTGACCTTATTTTTAAGATTCATTTGAAATTTTGATTTCTGAAAAGAAATGTATTGCTTCATAAAGAAAGTTTTTCTCATGTTTTCTGTGTTATCATCAGACATTTTGTTCTTTAGTGTTTCTCCTCTCTCCTTGTCCCTCCTTAGCCCTTCTGAATCACGTCCCTTCCCATCATTCCCTCACTCCCTCTTCCCCTCCAAGACACTTCCCACCCCCTCTAACAGGAAGCCAACACAATACAAGAGATAATGCAGGCAGGAAGGGGCGGGGCCAGCCCCCAGATGGACAGGAAGCTCGGTCCACTGTTTGCTTTAGCTGATTAAAGGACAAAAAAGGAGGAAGGGGGCACACAGAGCAAGGTTGAGAAACATTCTGCTCTCATTGAATATAAATATAAAAGTGAAGTAAGCAAAGAGTTGGCTTCCAGCTATTGTTCCCACATTTATCCTGTGACATTCCCAGCAGGTCCGACTTTTAAAGAAGCACTGCAGGCCAAGAAAAACAGAATAAACAGCAGAGCAAATAAACTAAAGCTGGAGAGAAAAAAATACATTTCTGAACAAATCAGTAACGCACAAAGTGAATTTTCAGAACAACGGCATGATGTCATTACTGCACACAGTTAGTGGCCTTTTCGCTTTCTGGCTAGTTATGAATGAGTTTTTAATGGCAGAAGCCATCATTTATGACCAGCTTGTTATTATTTAAATGGTAATGCTCTCAGCCAGTTGCTCCACAGGACAGGGTTAAAGGTCAGGAGGTCTGTGGGGGAGTAGTTACTCCTGATTACTCCAGTTAAGGAGCCAGAAACCCAGCAGAGGACATTCATTCAAAATGTCCCAAAGAAAAGACAGAGAGACATTTTGAATGATTTGTTGCTACCAGTTATTCAGATGGAGATATATACTGCAAATGTAATCTATAGACAGGAAGGGATTAGTTGAGACTGATTTGTAACTTTGATTTGTTACAGCATGAAACTCAACACAAAAATAAAAATGTGACTTTACGTTTCCTTTCCATTCTCCATATAAACTGTTCTGAGAAAGAGCAAATAGCTGCTTTGGTCTCATTTATCTATTGATTATCTGTCACTCTGTTGATGTTTTTAACAAAGTGACTGAATCATATTTCCATTCAAGTGTATCTGCAAGGTGTGGAAAAAAATAAGTGGCAATAATAAGAGCAGGAGGAATTCAACATTGATAGCTATGCATCTCCACAAAGCCTTCAAGATTCTTAAAACTGCATTTTGTACCCTACAAAATCTTGATTATTTTCCAAAACTGCACTAAAAATCAACAAAAGCTGCAACAAGAAATTGACTTGAAACCAGAATTGGACAAATTTCAACTTGTTTGACTCTGCTTAGTCCCTCACCAGGCAGAAAGACAAAAATAGAACAAAGGCACTGCCAAGTCACATTGAGGTCAAAACTCTTTGGTATGGATGCTATTACTGACTGAAGACAGCGAGAAGCTAGCTTTCAGTATAAAAGTATCTGAAATGAAATGAAAGCACAACAGAGTTGGAGGAATCCATGCAGAAGTTGCGTATTCAGCATGTTGAATACAAATAGCTACTATGATGACAGTCTGTTTCAGGAGATAACAGGAAGGCTAAACAGAGCTGCCTGTTCAGGTTTAAACCTTCTGTCAGGAATCATGAAGTATTTAGAAATAATGTCAAATCTTTAAGGAAAAGTTAGGAGATTGTCAGGTGAATACAAATGTACACACCTGGTTTTAATCTAGCAAAAACAGCCAGCTTAACATGGTGACTTAGCAGGTTGTTGTCTATGGCTTAAATTGGAAATTTGTACTAATTTGATGAAAATGTGTATTAATCAGACCAATACTGATATGCAAAAAATTGACAAATATCACCCACTACAACTTTTATTGCTGATATGTAATGGTGCATTAAAATTCTCTTTTACAGTGACTGCTCTTTCAGACATGGTGAGACGGACGACACCATTTTTCACATGAACTACTGACTCATTTCAGGAATTCAAAAATATTTTGAATGATGTTCTTAAAAACAAATCTGAGGCACAGATCAATAATCAGCCAAAGAAAACATTGATTTTAGGTTGGAGGTTTGATGAGCGGACAGAAGCCGAAGAGGGTGAGAGGTTAAAGTTATCAAAGCACATCAGGCACATAGCTGCAGCCCAACAAGCTGCTGCTGCTGCTCTGTGCTTCCTGATCTGAGTCCCTTAGGTTTGTTTGACTCTACCTCTGAGGACTCAGCTTTCATCACAAGGGCTAGGGTTAACCCTAACCCTAGCTGTGATGACGAGTTATGTCAAAAAAGCCAGAAACAAGCTGTAATTCTGTCAGAGCAGCAGTAGAGCCATTTCCTTTCTGTCTTTCTATTGTCTGGTTTTGCTCTCTCTCAGCACAGAGGAAGTCTGGCTCATGAAGGCAAACAGCACTTTGGTAACCAAACTGGGTTTCTGTTCAGGTTTTAACTCATACAAATCAAAATATGGGCTAAATTTAACTCATGTCAACAGTTAAACATGACTGCTGCTGAGACACCCAACGGTGAATGAAAAAGAACAAAAATAACTCATTTGCTCCATGAAGACATTAAATATCACTGTGAAAACCCACTGGACCTCACAGTGGGAGCTCAGGGCTGAACGGTAATAATGTCTCAGATAAAGAAAAGCCAGCCGGCACCTCGCTGTGATCAAACACCTCCAAACCCTCACAGCTCAAATGCCTGTGATTTTTTTTGAACATTAAAATCCCCAAGCAATCCTATTTGAAAAGAAAAAAGTTCAGAAAAGTGTTGCTTTCACTTGGAGTGTGTTACATTCCAAGTAGGATTGAAACCAATATAAGACTTTCTCTCTTAGATAAGAGTCCATGTTAGAAACGTTAGGAAGTCTATGCGGTTTCATCCTTCAAATAAAATCACATTAAGTCCAAGAGTTTATGATTGTGGGATTCATCAGCAACACTTTGAGTGTAACCAAAAAAGTTCTTTCATATTGGAGTAAAAGCAAATACAAACATGAGGAACATGAACAAATCCATGATCCCAGTTTTGATTAGGCTTACAAAGTGTACAAACAATTACAAAAGTTAAGGTTTTAAAACACCAAGAGTTTTGTATCACACCATCCCGACAACCTCTGCACTTTAGTGAGAAACCAAAGAAAGTCTTATTTTGACGTGTTTCTTGACTTTTTAGAGCATAAAATAAAATCCTGATCCACGCCTCTTTGCAAAGTCAAGTTGTTTCAAAATGACACTTGTCACACTAAAACCAACAAGCAGCAGCCTGCAGGCTAGTTCCCTGAACAAAACCTAGTAAATCAGTAAATCATATTGATTTCTGTAACATCTTGGTTTTTCACACAGACTCATTTTAAAACATTTACTCCAGACAGAAAACGCTATATGTTCCATTTTTAAAGTAAATTTCACTGAGGAAGATCTTTTTTAAGAAATAATGGCTCTATGCAAATGTTCATTAAAATAGAGTGAGCATAAGCAAATATTGAAGTTGTTTTAAAATGTCAGTGCATGGCTTTGGTTATGCTAATTCTAACTGGCTAAATTCTGCAACCTTTCATCTGTTAGCGTGTGTTTTCAGGTGAAAGAGAAAGGTTAAGTCATTTGACTGGTTGCTGAACCTCATGTTGCATCCATAGAATGCTCCGATGTTCCATCACGAGTGAAAACAAGGTGAAAATGGGTACATTTTTTGATGTCACCTTCATTTATCGTGTTGGAACCTCCTGGATTTTGATGAAGATTGCTTAGTGAGTGAATAGATAAGAGACAGAAACACAAATGTACGTGACAACAGAGTAAAAAACTAAATTGTGTTTGGCAAAGTGTCTTGGGGATGCTTGGCTGTCTGCCTGCTGGAAGTAGATGTTCTTGTTTTCTGTTTCCTGCTTCTCTTTCTATGACTATTTTCAACTACCGACACACAAGATGTGAACCAGTGAGGCACTCGGCGGGCGGGTTGTCACATTTGCTCTCAGTACTGATGGTAGTAGTTGGCACCGTCCGCACCGTACAGCTCAGCCAGTGTCTTGAACCTCGGCCCCCAGTCATTGAGGAAGTCGTAATCCAAGTTTGATCCTGAGGAGGAACTGTCCATAGAGCTGAGGCTTCCCGCCAGAGACTCTGGTCCCTCGTAGCCATAGATGTGTAGAGTGTCATAAGGGAATCCGTCTCGGTCGTGGTCGGCCTCGTCTTTCTTCATATCGATCATGGCTGCCATGTCGCCTTTGCAGGCTGTGGGCTGAGAGAGCTGGTGGGGTTTCTGGACCATGGCGTACATGGAGGAGTGGGAACGCTGGTCGGGGCGGCGGAGCAGGGAGCTGTCGTTACACGCTGAGGTGAGAATTGAAACGTCGTAGCTGGAACAAAATACAGACATCTTCATTGATTGAGCTTTAGGCTTAATAGCTGGTCAGCATGCAAACAGATACCAGGGCTATGAAAAATATAACTCCGTGGAAAGTAGAAGACTTTGAAATTTTTTTTAATGTATTAAACATAACGCACACACACACGCACACACACACAAACACACACACACACGCACACACAAACACACACACACACACGCACACACACACACACACACACACAAACACACACGCACACACACACACACGCACACACACACGCACACACACACGCACACACACAAACACACACACACACGCACACACAAACACACACACACACACACGCACACACACACACGCACACACAAACACACACACACACGCACACACACACACACGCACACACACACGCACACACACACGCACACACACACACACACGCACACACACACACACGCACACACACACACGCACACACACACACACGCACACACACACGCACACACAAACACACACACACACTGCTTCGTTTTTTTCTCTTTCTGCAAGTTTAGAAACAGACTTCTAGCCTGACTCCTTCTTCACCTTTAAACCTAAGTTCCCAGCCTGCAGATTTATAAAAATAGCTGAGACTATTCCCTGTTTCACAGCATGAAAGTTTTAAAGGATGAAATCCCAACATTTTGAGTAATTAGATAAGATTCAAAGTAAAATAATATTAATATTGGCTTACTTGCAAGAATATTTACAATTTCACTTCCACTTGCAGGTAAAACAAGGAACTGTAATTTTGATATCACATAATTACAATAATAAATTATTCTTGGTTTCTTTTCAGAACGTCTTTAATAACTCACATTATGGTTATAATAAGAGTAATAAGTTGTGGTTATCATAAAATTATAAATGAATGCTAAATCAAAGAAACTAAAAGGGTTATGAATGTGATTTTAACATTGAACTTGAAATGGTGTAAAGCGTGTAACTGCAATTAAAGATCACTGATGATGTGTTGGAGGTGGATAATGGGTGAAAGGTGAAAGGTCAGGGGTAAAATGGCACTAATGGGAGAGCAGAGATGATCAATGCCTTACTTCCAAACAGATTGTTGAACAACTTGAATGTTTCAAAGAAAAGACTTGGGAGGAATGTTGAGCAACCCTGAGACATTAGCACAGACATCAGGACATAATGTCTCTAAGACAGTGATGGATATGAGATCATCTGTCCATACAGTCAGCCAATGAAACAAGCACAGCAACAGTGTTAGCCAATGCAAATGCACCATAAGGCTGGATAAACCCAATAAAAAGAGAGAGCAAAAGAGGAATCTTTGGTTGAATCCTCCAGGCAGCTTCGAGCCAAGACCGAGACGGACAAAGAACTCTGCAGCTGAAGAAGAGCCGGGGCCACAGAGCCGAAGACTGTCCTGCGCACGGGGACCAACCCGTCAGCCCCGCAACATGTGGCTTCAAATTGCACTTCTCTCATCAATTGGGCTCAGACCCCAAAGATAAAGATGAAGATAAAGGCAAAGATAAAGACCTCCTCCTCCTGCTGCAACACCTTCTTCATCATCGATCCAGTTCTGGGTTTCGAAACGCCATACTCCATCCGTCTCTCTCAAAGGTTCCCTTTTTAGTTCTTAGTATCAGCGTTAGGGAAAGACAGGCTAGATGATTGATTTTACTGATTTGATTATTTCTGCTACTTGATTAAGCTGTACTGACCCTTGCAAATTTGCTTTACTAATAAAATATTTAGCATAAAGAAAATCTAAAAGGTGTTGTGGACATTCAATTAATGAGTCACCTCAAAGTTCTTTGATGGTAGTAAAATAGCTGTGATGTTTGATTCTGGGGAAGAAAACTAGGGAATGTTTTATAGGTTGCTTTAGCCCAAATCTAAAACAACATCTTTGGGACTCGCCAGAGACACTAAAACCAGCCTGGTTCAGTAACAAGTGCAAGTTGTAAAAAAGAGAAGGAGCGACCGTTAACAGATGTGCTCTGTGGAACCAGTTATCTGTATGTTGCTCAGTCTGGCTAATTCACAGGGGGAAGAAGGGTGAGACATCTGGATGTAGGCCGTCAGTAACCAGGTGAAGAAACCAGCTTAAACAGAGTTTCCTTCAGTTCTGGATCGGGTAAATCCCAGCAGATTTAGGAAACTCCATTAACCCATTAGATGGAGAGCTGGTAGCACATCTCCCCTCTCAGAAGAGGAAGTCGTGACTGAGAGAGGAGAGAATGAAGGAGGCGGGGTGTTGCACAACAGTTGTTAAAATATTATTCAAGTTTACAATGTATGATAAAAGTGCTGCCTATTGCTGTTAAACTGATGCATTAAATTCAGCAAGATGTTTTCTTTTTCTCAAACATTAACTTGATAGGTTAATGACCTACAGTAGATCTTAAAACAAACCTTGCTGAAAGATCAACAATGTTATTTGTTTTACTCATTAATGAATATGATTTCAATTATAACACAGTAACTTTATACGAAACAAATAAAAAGCAGTAAAAGTTCAGGTTTTGCAAACAATTTACCAGTCAAATTAGGCAAATTGTAATTACAGCAATTGTAACTTTCCACCCCGTTTGGCAGAACCAAAATCTTTCTGTTATCCATACTGGTGGACTACAGTAATGTAAAACCTTATGATTTTATTTGGTTCTCACAATGAGCCAGTGACCATTTTTGTCAAAATACCAGCAATAATGTAAAACTAGTTTCTCCTCTGACTGAACCACAAAAAGGTGTCACTTTTTGACTTGAATTGCCAAAATAAAATAACTTTTCAATGGTATTTTTAACTCATTAAAAAATAACTTCTTAAAAATATCTTCCTTTTCTGTTCTGCTATTTCTAAATATTTTATTTTCAAAACCTTTGCTATATATTCCGTACTTTACAAATGTTCTTGAATTTGTCCTATTAGACTGTGTTATAGTCAGCCAAGCTTCTTGGAAATGCAGAAAATACTTGAGTTTCTAGAGCTGATGTTTTAAACTGAAGTACAAAAGAAAAAATTACCAATGAAAGGTCACAACGTCATAAGGATAAAAAAATACAAGAAAAAGAACAGAAATGATCTTGATTTTCATGGAGAAAACTGCAAAGAAAAAAATGTCATCCTCAAGTTTCTATAAAATATGTATATTTTTCTACATACCCATTTGTGTCCATTTCTCCTCCTCCTTCCTCATCATATGTGACCAGCTGCTCATGGATCTCACCGCTGTTCTTCATACTGGCCAAAGAATCCTTCTGGTAATGTTTCCTCATCACAAACAGGATCACTATCACTGTACAAAGGGAATACATATCAATCTCTTTTGGTATTGATCATTGCAAGAAGAATATCTGAAGCAAAAGTGCTAATATTTGAATCTAAGATTAGCATCTGAGAGACAGAAATAAATGTAAATGATGTCCTCTTGACTGAAAATGTAAAACATGCATGTACAAAAAAAGATTACAGGAAAGATGTCATGTTGGTGATGTTCGAGCCACAGAGAAGGTAAAATGAGATAGTTAGAAAGCCAAAACAAAATGAAAAGTAGGCCTTGAAACAAGTGGCACATCAGCAAGAGGATAAGAGGAGGAATCCTGACAGGAACAAAGTCAGTCAGTAGAAACAATCTGCACAAAGGGAATAAACACAAGAAAGGAAGTGGAAATGAGGAAGAAAACAAGGTGGAAGAGGATGAGTCAGATAAACTCAAAACAGAGATGAAAAGAGAAAAGGTTCACAGTCGACGAGGCACAGACAATGAAGTGACAGAATAAAAATGAAACGCATTGTGTTAAAAAAGAAAACCCCCCAAAAAACACAAAAACAAGAACTTTACAATTCTTGAGAAACAATTCTTGAGCCCAGCCTAGCCAGTGCTAATGCTAGCCTATCCATGCTGATGACCGGCAGAGGAAAAAAGCAAGTAAGCATGTGACCATTTGCGTCAGCATCCTTCTTTCCCAAAGCGGGCCGCTCAGTTACCAGTGCTGGTCCGTCAGACAAAGCCTCCTGTGATCAGGACACTGCTACACAATCTTAATTTATATATACACCATGAAAGAGCTTTTATGGTTTATCATCATAATTGTTCCCATATTTGATTTAGAAAATGTTGATGTGAATCAAAAGATGAGTCTGAAAAAAGGACAACATTTATCTGTGACTCTGTATCGATCCGAAAATGCATCAATTCAAGACATGAAAGCAATTTAATACAAATATTACATTAGAAACAGAGCGAAGATGCATGACTTCATAAAATGAGACAAAATATGAAACAAGTTTCTTTTTTAAAGTGAACCTCTTCTAAGTTTCTGTTGCTGGCGAGTTGTTCTTCATGGTGTCCATGGAGACACAGGAAGAAACGAAAGGAAAGGAAGGAAAATATGGCAAGCAGTCGCTGAGTGAAGAAAGAAGGCAGAGACTTGAGGGTGAGCAAATCAAGCACAAGGACAGACAAAGAAGAAAAGAAGGACAATGTGACATTTGATTGGACCCCAGGCCTCTGTCCCCATAGCAGCAGCCACAGTTCTTAGCTGAGGGAGAGCGGACTGATTAAGTTTGCATGGGAAACCAACAGATGAATCTTTTACAACACATGCTTCTCAGTTTAATAAGCTGCAGAGGGATGAGACAAGAGAAAGTGATGGAAAAGTTTCCGGGTGTCAAACTTGATTTTATGTGAGAAAAAGTGTGTGTGAATGGCAAATTGCTATGTGGCCAGACGGATAATGACAAGGGATTAAATAGTTAATCTGGCTTGCTTTTGTAGTGTTTGATAAAGAGAGAGGAGACAGAAAAAAGTAGTAGAAGAAGAAACACCCTGAGGGAGACAAGAAGAGAGAGATGAAAAAAAGAAAGGGAAAGGATGATAGTGAAAGAGTGTATTAATGGTTAATAGGGTGTGTGTGTGCTAGTGTGTGATAAGCAGATGGCACCTAAAGAGCTGATAAACTTTCCTTATTACCACTCCTATTCTTCCACTGTTTTTCCCACAGTTCTCTCTTTCCAACCGCTTCCAAACCACGCTCGTCTTCTTTTCCTCTCATTTAGCCAAACCGATTGCACCTCAACTCTTTGCCTTTGGCGCGTCTTTCACCTTCTGCGTTTCCCCACATCCATGTCTGAATAGATGTATTTCTCTCTCTGCCTCCATCCCTGTTCTAACTTCCTTGTCTCTTTTCTTTCCGTCTTCCGCACCTCAAATCCCGGACCTCTCATGTCTGTCCAACTGTCTCCATTGGGCTTCTGATTTGACATGAAAAATGCCTCTTTTTCTCCCGAAAGAAAAACAAACAGTGGGTGAAGGCATCAAACAGAATCCTGAGCTCACAACCACAGGCGTTATTTCCACATCCATCGCTGTATTATTCATAAAACCAACAACTTGGAGAGTGGGGGTTGGTGCACCCAAACCCAGAATCATTGATTGAATCTATGCTCATGTGCCAATCACTTAGCAGTGCATCAGTCACTGCTGCTGCTTTACTGATTTTAGTTTTTCAGTTGAAGCTCTAAAGCCTCTCTGTAGTTCACAGCTGTTTTAGAAACAGGAAATAAACTGCTGGGGAAAATAGTTGTCATTGTGGCTTGAATGTCACATCAATTTTAAAAGAGCTTAAAAGGTCATTTTTACAACTTGTTTGGTTATGAACTGTGTGCCGTTTCTTTTAAAAGCCGTATTTCACCATATGGAGATAACCTTTTTTTTCCCCTCTCTATTTGAAATAAATGTAAAACAACCACCATCACAGATTTCGGCAAAGTTACAGATTTCCTTGGTATGACAACATAATAATACAATCACAATCTGGAGGATATTTTTTCAGACCCTAAAAACTATCCTAAAGCTCTCCTAGGGCTGCCGTCTTATTGTGGTGGAGGGTTTGAATCCCCCAATGATCCTGTCTATGCTCTGCTCTCTGGGGCTTTATGCCCATGCTAGAGTCACCCAAGGCAGACAGTTCATAGCTGAGGGACTCTGTTAGAAAAATGATCTAAGTTCATTTACTTATGAGCTCATTTGAAAGGTTATGTTTTCATATCACTTTCTGTGTGTTGTTTTCTTGACTCCTTTCTTTTGTGGTATATGCTTAACTGTTTTTTCAGATGTTTTCTTGGGGGTTGGAAATGTTTACCAGCTGCTTTGATCATTAGCTGTCTGTGTCCTTGTGTCCTGGTAAGGGTATGTCCACAGAAGGTTCCGGAACATCTTGTGGTTAAGGTTATTGATCGATTGTTTGTGTGACTGTGTGAAAAAGCCCAACCTCTTTCCTTGTAAACATAATAAAAGGCAGTTGGGAACTGAGAGCCGACGGAGTTGACCCCAGTTCTCCGCGTCTGGCTCTGCTCCCCTCTTCTGCACAAACGTCTGTGGTTGATTCTTTGCAGGTTGAGAACCAAAATAGAGCCAACATTTTGGAGACTCGTCCGGGATTCCCTACATACCCGCCGCTGTCGGAAGGAGTATGACACGTTGAAATGTGCCGGCATTCAGGTTCTGCAGACCTGTCCTGAAAAGTCCTGGGGAGTAACTTCCTCACTGGGCCAGTGACTTAGGTCACCTCCTTCTGCCATTGACAGGATTCAAACTGAGATTGAGCAGGAATCAACCAAGTAATAAGTGTAGGGTACAGGCGGTTCTGAGTCCCCCGATAGACGTCAAGGGAAAGTGAAAGGAAAAAAAAACATACAAGAAGGGAAAGGTAAAAAGTGTGACACCTAAGAAAAAGAGTGGAAAAAGTGGGCTTGTTGGGGAATCTTAGCAAGGATTCTCCACTCAATCACCCGTTGAGTCGAAGTGAGAATCGCCACATTAACTTGACCACCACCCCACTCTTCCTATCCCCGTTCCATAGAGTCCACTCTATAAGTAATATAGAGTGGACTATAAAGCACTGTAAAAATGGGTTCTTAACAAAGGAAGGAGAAAAGTTCTAAAGGGGATGAAAAGTTTATGTATCAGATGGAGCCAGGAAACTTAATGTACCTGACTAAATGGAAAAAGAAGTATAGTGTAGATGGTGTGTTGAAAGTAAAAGAATGAAAAAACGTGGTGTGTAAATTAGAAACAGCGCTAGTTTGAAAACTGGTACCAGACAACAAGAAACTATTGGTTGCTGCTAAATCCTAACATAAGTTTGAGATATCTCTTTTAAAATGTGCATGTTACTTAAACCTAAAGAAAATTTCAAGAAAGTGAGGAAAAAGAAGGATATGAAGACATAGTCAATTCTTTATTTATCTACTTATTTATTTGTTAGCCAATACTCTAAATAGATAAATAAATGAAATAAAATAAAATAATTATCTAAAAGCTGGAAAAAATTTGCTTTGAATGACTCAAAAGATGTTAGAGGACTATAAGTAAATGGGTGCACCAGAGTCATATAATGAGACATGCATCCCAAATTAGATGAAGTGACTGAAATGGAAATTGATCAAACAAAGGATGTTTTGCTAAATTTACAAGATTTGCTATCAATAGATAACATTAAGTCTGAAATAACCCCATTGGTAAATGGAAAAAAGATTACTTTCTTATGTGACACTGGTGCATGTGGAACAACTTGAAGAGAATCAATACTGAACTGTAATAAGATATGATTAAAAGCAACTACAGAAAGAAGAGAGGGTTGCAAATAAAATAAGAAAATAAACATAAAAAACAAAAGAACAAAACAGGGAAAAGCAACATGTTTATTTAGACTAGAGAATAATGAAGCCTCAGGGAGGAGTTGCAACCCCGCTCACAGCAGCTCAGCGAGGGGAGAACAGGAGGAGCTGCAGCGGCCGTGAACTCCTACCCCACCAGATCCAACTGACCACCATATCAACTAGTCTATGTTAGTGTCAAAACGCTAGTCTATGTTAAAAGAGTTACACATTTAGAAGTAAGAAATGGAAGACTCCCAAATCTTAAAATGAGATGAAATTGAAACATATTCCATGATAATGGAGCAGCAGATCATCTCCACAATAGGAAAACAGAAGAATTAGGAGTTTCCCCTGAAATCCTAGTTAGCTCTCTTTCCTACTGTGATGGAGAACAGGGGCTCATCCCTTATTAGTAATTATTGATACATTTATTTATAAAACAAATGCTTTTTGTTTCAGTTCGTTACCTCAGTTAAATCCAGGTGCTGTTAAAAGCTCCTGAAGCTTTTAACCATTTCATCTGAGAGGGGAAATGGTTTGTTATATTTAAGTTAAAGTTAATTGTTGATTGTGCTTAGATTAGTTTACTTTGAATAATTTGCATGCATGTAAATATTATTTGGTATCATTTGTTTCGTATTAGGTTTGTGCCAATTATTTCTTGTTTTATTTTGTCATCTTCTTTATTTGAGTGCTGGATAGCCCACAGAAATAAAAGCTAGCTTCTTTGTTTCACTGTGGTGAAATGGGTGTCAGTGTACATGTAACCTGCAGAGCAAATAAAACCATCTGGACTGCATTTTTGTTGCCCCGCTTCCTTCCCTGACGCAGAGTTTCCGCCGGTCTAAGTGACACCTACCATAAAATCATCCCCTCCAAGAGGAAAGTTCATGAGGTGGGGGTAAAGAAGCAAATTTGTCAACGAGATGCATTTGCCAAAAGAATTCTTGATTTTTACGGTACATCATCAACTATGGAGCCTCAAGACAAACGAAAGGTTTTATAGTTTGGTACCATTTTGATCTTACATCAGAAAATAAGGTTATCACTTTTGTTTCATCCAGTTTTTTTCAGTTTCTATTGATCTATCTGAATCCAAATTGAGCTGAAATTGACTCAGTTTACTTTCTACAGGTTAAGTTTTGCACATGTTTGACAGAACTGTCTAATTTAAATAAATCCACCTCCTCAATGATCAGGTATTATTGGGCCAGGCATCAGAATGAAGTCCCAGATACAGATATAAATTACTCAGTTGCTTTTTATAATTTATTTCATATAAATGTATTGTTTACTTCAATTTTTGTCTACAGCAGGAAAAGTTGTCAAAAATGTATGAGGGACTACATTTCAAGATGTTGGAAAAAACCTTTTTTGAATAAACATTTGTGAAAACAAACTCTCTTAAATCCATAGATTTGTCTAACATTAACATTCCTCATTATGCCTTTCTTTGATCTGAATCAGCCACAGATCTCTTCACAGTATGATAACGCTTCAGTTTTGTTTAAATATCTCATGTTTTCATACCTTGTCATGCAGCACTACACTATCTGATTATTTAAGTCAGCAGAGATCCTTTCTCTTTTCCATATGGCTTGAAGCCTGTGGCTTACTTAATAATGTGGAACATCCTTCTTAAGTAGATTTCCTTTAATTGAGCTGCACCAAACAAACTAATCAAGCAGCTCTCTGAAATGAATTCTAGTGATTCAAAGAGCCCTGACACACAATAACATCTATAAATTTAATAGCACAACAAAAAATGTGATCTTTATGACACTTAAATCCAATTTGGATAATAATTTGGAATATGGTGTTATATTAGGTCAAGAAATACCAGATAGGTGTGAACAATGCTCACTTAAAGAACTGTGTAAAAAAAACTCAGATCATTAGGAAAACTAAAGCCATTATTTCTCATTCTTTACATGCTTAGTTCCAGTTTTTGCCTTCTGGCATCAGACTCAGACTTCCTAGTATAAAACGTAGCAGGAGAGAGAGATCCTTCGTTCCTACAGCAATATCTCTTTAATGCAGAACCTGATTTAGCGTTAGTAGCAATTGTCAATAAATAACGAAATACACTGCTGTACTTTTCCCATTATGTATTGATTTGTATTTCATGTCCTTCTGGTATGTTTTGTTGTTTATTTTATTTTTTAATCTTTGATATTTTGTCTTGAATTTTTTTTGTACTTGCTGTAACATCAATTGCCCATGCAGGATACAAATAGATGTCTTTAATCTTTATTAAGGCCAGTGCACATTAATGAACAATCAACACTATTGTATCGACTGTAAATGAGCCAGATTATAGCATAATTGCTAATTTGTCAATCTGAATTATGTTCAAAATTCCAACTTGTGCAGTCATATGGGCAACGGAAACACAGCTGCTGAGATTCGTGGGAATGTTCTCCAAATTTACAACAAACACATTTTCTAACATTCTCCACAGGATTATTTTCTCCAATTAAAAGCAATATTCAGAAACATAGGTTATATTAAAGAAAAAATAAAAGTGCACAAAAGACAAAGAGGTTCATGCATGAACCAAAAAAAATTATCCAAACTTACCTAGTATGGTCAGTATGCACAGCAGTATGGCAATCAGGGCATGGATGCTGACCCCCATCCTCTGCATACTGGCCTTACATCTTGAAAAAATTCGCTTGGTGTCACACTGGCATAACTGAGACAAAGGAAAGAAGCATTTGGTTCTTTCTGTTGCCAACGGCTTTCGAAGACATGTTGGACATTCTCCTTTCATTCAAATGACCTTGATTTGCAGTTTGGTGTTGCTGCTCATGACAGGCTGGCCTCCATCACTGATGAGCACTTCCACACTGTATTCACTGGAATCCTCCAAGTTGAAGGGGCCCTCCTTCACCAATAAAGCAGCCGTGTTATCTGCACAAGATGAGCGGGAACACAAGTAGTTAACATGCACGTCAAATGCTCTTTGGACTAGGGCTGCCAGAGACCAAATTAGCTCTGGAAAAACTAATTAGTCAATCAAAATCTAATTTTATTTGTATAGCACATTTCAGCAGCAAGGCATTTCAAAGTGCTTTACATCATAAACAAAAAAACACAAAGTCATGCATCATGGAATAAATAATACATTTAAAGGAAGTCAGTTTTTCAGCCGTTTTACAGTTTTATGGAAGTTTGTTCCAAATTTTTGGTGCATAGATGCTGAAAGCTGTTTCTCCTCTCTTGGTTCTGGTTCTGGGGATGCAGAGCAGAACCAGAACCAGAACCTGAGAGTCTGGAAGGTTGATACAACAACAGCAGATCTTTGATGTATTGTGGTGCTAAACCGTTCAGTGATTTATAAACTAACAACAGTATTTTAAAATCTATTCTTGAGCTACAGGGAGCCAGTGGAGGGACTTTAAAACTGCTGTTATGTCTCTATCTTCCTGGTTTTAGTGAGAACAGGAGCAGCAGCTTCTGGATCAGCTGCAGCTGGAGGATTGATTTGTTGGACAGGCCTGTGAAGACGCTGTTACAATAATCAATGTGACTAAAGATAAACGCATGGATGAGTTTCTCTAGATCTGGCTGAAGAACATCTAATCCTGGAAATGTTCTTCAGGTGATAGAAGTCCGACTTTGTAACTGTCTTTATGTGGCTCTGGAGGTTCAAGTCCGAGTCCATCACTACTCCCAGGTTTTGGGTCTGATCTCCAGGTTTTAGTTGTAATAACTGAAGCTGTGCATTGACTCTAGATCTAGAGCTCTAGATCGTTCCTTTTTAGGTCCAAAAATAATGACTTCAGTTTTGCTTTTGTTCAGCTGGAGAAAGTTTTGGCACATCCACACATTTATCTGTTTTAAACATTTATTCAGTGATTGGATGGGGTCAAAGGCATAGTTATGGTAGCTAATATTATTTCCTGTTATAACCTGAGCTATTGGGAGAATATAAATATTGAATAAGAGGGGTCCTAGGATTGAACCTTGGGGTACCCCACATGTGACCTTTGACCTCTTTGATGAGAAGTTTCCAATTGAAACAAAGAAATCCCTGTTCTTTATGTAAGTTTCAAGCCAGTCGAGCACCGAACCGGAGAGTCCGACCCAACTTTCAAGTTGATTCAGTAATATACTTCAAAGTGTATACTTCCATGAAATTCCTTTTGCGTTGGATTCTATTGGTCTATTGGTCTAAGCCCAAAACAAATGAGTTTATGATCCTGGGTGGAGCTTCTCCGTTTAAGAGTATTGGGTTACAGTTAGAGTATGTTCTTTAACTTCTTCACTGAATCTTTTAACTTCCTTTAAGCATTTGCCTGTCATGACCCATAACCTCCATCTGTCTCTTTGATTCTAATAAAGAAGCTATAACTTCAGGGAACGTCACCCACCCACAACCTCACCCCATCCTGTCCTCCTGGCTTTGTCTCAAACCCAAAGAGAACATTTGAAGAATCTGGATGAGATCTGTTCACCAGAGAGAAATAAATAATAGTGTAAAAGGGTGTTTGTACATTTTTAAAATGTCTTAAATTTGTGTATGTGTAATAAAGACTTTAAAATGCCTGAAATATTTTTTAATGCAGGTTGCCTTTAATTACATTAATCACAGGTCTGACATGTTGTCATTGCAGGAATATTTAATCTTGTATGCAGTTATTTTTTCTCATGGGATTTTTTTTGGTAAATTTTTCATCCCATCACTCTTATCTTTTTGATTCGGCTCTTGTTCTGTTTGATTTTCGTTCTTAATCGCTCTGTGAGGATTCTCCTGGCTGACCTCTGGAGGTTTCTTCTGCAGAAGAAACCTCATTCCTCGTCTTTCCTTTTCCTCGTTTGTCCATCTCACCCTCCCTCTCTGGTTCTAATGTCGCAAGCTGCACATGTAACTCAGGGCAAAAACTGCCCTTAATCCCACCTTTGCTGCTCCATTGGTTCGAGTGATAATAAGTCACACAGTGCATTCAGCCAATCACTGCACCTGGAGTGGTTTTTCAGGCCTGCTCCAGCTTTCCCAGTCAGGTGTGATGGAGAGTGCTGGAGACAAAGGAGCTGCAGGTTTGTGCTTCCAAACAATTAGTTTATTATGTACTTTTAAAACCTCACAATATAAAAATCCTGTAGATCTGAGTATCCAGTGAGCTTGGAGCCATGAAGTTGTCATGGTGAGTAGTGAACACAATGTTTTGTTTGTTTGACATGTTGGTGGTGGTAGCCAATGCTAACTGTTTGATTATCAAACACACAATCTAACTTTTTCAATTCAATACATGTGTTTAAGATAATGAGACGAATGCTCATATCTTTATTTTTTTTTAAAGATTTGATTGTGGATAGTGATGGTGAGATGAAGCCTCATGAAGCATTGAACCACTTGAGCCAACTGGTTCAAGAAAGGGTTCATTTCTCGAAGCTTCATTTGCTCATGAAACCACCTGCTGGCCAGATGGAGAATCACAGCCAGCTGTATCTTCACACATGTGATGCATAAAATTTTTCTCTATTATGGCTCTTGGGAATGACGTCACAAAAGGTGTAGGATGAAATCGTTTGTCTAAATCATGTTTATACATATGTGTATAATAAAATATTGTTTGAATGTATTCTCTGTGAGTAATTTTCCCAAAATAGTAGTGTCATGTGATATGGCATGTTGTGTAATAATGTTTTTCTGTAGGGCTTATCTATCTATCTATCTATCTATCTATCTATCTATCTATCTATCTATCTATCTATCTATCTATCTATCTATCTATCTATCTATCTATCTGTCTGTCTATCTGTCTATCTGTCTGTCTGTCTGTCTGTCTGTCTGTCTGTCTGTCTCTCTCTAACATCAAATTAAATAACCTCTATCCAAACTATCCAGCCTCTATCCACTCTCTCAACTGATCGCAACTCGCCTACAACAACCCACATTTTGAATGCAGCCTGTGGGTTTTATAAAGCTGTCAAACCCCGCGCCAAACTCTGAACCACTTCCTGAAGCAGTCACACGGTACAGCCGGGCAGCGAGGCCTCGGACGTCATCGTTTTCGGCTCGTCCCCTAAATGAAGCGAGCCTCGATACGCGCTTTACGGAAACGTCCCCTCCTTTACTCGACAGACGCTTCGAAGCCTCGGCACATCAGGTAGCATCATTAATTAGGCCGAGCAGCTAAGCGCTGCGAAGGCCTATTGTTTCTGTACTGTTTCTTATTAGGCCCGAGCAGCTAAGCGCTGCGAAGGCCTATTGTTTTCCTACTGTTTATTAGGCCCGAGCAGCTAAGCGCTGCGAAGGCCTATTGTTTTCCTACTGTTTCTTATTATTATTCTGCCCCCCTAAAGAGGGGCCTTTTTGGGGGCTTTATCATTTTCAAAAACTCACCAAACTTGGCGGACGCGTAAAGGGAGTTTCAAAATTTTGTATTTTAAGGTCATTGCAAAAATCCCATAAAAATGGCTCAATAGCGCCACCTACAAATTTTCAAAGGACCCTTTGCTATTCACTTACTTTATCCTAGAGACATGAAATTTGGTACACTTGTAGAGCTCCCCAAGATGCTCAAAATTTACAATTAATGTCATAGTGCAAGTATCACAGGAAGTCAGCCATTTTGGATTGAAGGTCCAATTTTGGGGCCATTTTTGCCGTTTACAGCCTTCGTATTTGATCGAACTCCTCCTAGGGATTTCGATTGATCGGCTTCAAACTCGGTCAGTCTGTTCATAAGGCATGTCCCATCTAAAGTTATCAAAACGGTGAGTTTTTGAGTATGCTGAAGGGGGGTTAGCAGGGGTCAAAGTTCACCTACTCGCCGTAAAAAAATAAACTGTTATATCTCCTACACAGAAACTCACAGAGGCACCAAAGTTTCTGTGATTGATCATTATCGGGTCTCCTACAATACCCTATGGTCGAATGATGACATCACTTAGGCCACGCCCCATGAGAACAGGAAGTGTCATGTTTTACTGTGGATGGTCGCTATCTGACCCCTTTGACCTCATCAACATGAAACTGTGCCCAGACACAGAAGACATGTTGGTGAGTTGAGGATTCCAACCACGACCAGCTTCGATGGAGCAGGTGGGCGTGGTGGCGTGGCGAAGTGACCTCTAACGCCATCGCCATACGTTTGGCTCTCAATTCCACATTTTCGGGCCCAGCTGCTCCAAACTCACAAGGATGGATCGCCATCAACTCCCCGACAGGAATCCATCACAATATTTGTGGGGCGTGGCCTAATTTCTCTATAGCGCCCCTAGAATATTTTAAATGATCAGCCCCAAGCCATGCTTTAACCTACAATTACGAAACGTTGTACACATGTGTACCTTGTCAGGACTTACAAAAAAGTCTCTTGGAGCCATGGTCTAAACCCCACAGGCAGTCGGCCATTTTAGATTGAAGTTCAGATTTTGACCCCATTTTTGCCGTTTACAGCCTCCGTATTTGATCGAACTCCTCCTAGGGATTTTGATTGATCGTCTTCAAACTCGGTCAGTCCGTTAATAAGGCATGTCCCATCTAAAGTTATCAAAACGGTGAGTTTTTGAGTATGCTGAAGGGGGGTTAGCAGGGGTCAAAGTTCACCTACACGCCATAAAAACATAAACTGCTATATTTCCTACACAGAAACTCACAGAGGCACCAAAGTTACTGTGATTGATCATCATCGGGTGTCCTACAATACCCTATGGTCGAATGATGACATCACTTAGGCCACGCCCCCTGAGAAAAGGAAGTGTCATGTTTTACTGTCAACGGTCGCTATCTGACCCCTTTGACCTCATCAACATGAAACTGTGCCCAGACACAGAAGACATGTTGGTGTGTTGAGGATTCCAACCACGACCAGCTTCAATGGAGCAGCTGGGCGTGGCGGCGTGGCGAATTGACCTCTAACGCCATCGCCATACGTTTTGCTCTCAATTCCACATTTTTG